GGGGGGGGGGGCAGTGAGGTAGTGGGAGGGGAAAGGCAAAACATTCACCCAGATCTTCTCCCCAGGACATTGAGACCATTCCTCCAAAAGGGAGAAATTGCCAGGAAGAGAAAAAGTTTTTATTGATATAGACAAGACCCCCTCCTCCCAACAACCACATACCCCATGACACATCAGAGCTAAATTCTGAGCTAAAAGGTGCATGTTTCCATACCTATCAGTAATCCCTAGCCTCTGGAGGGGGCAAGGCCCCAGCCCTGGGACACCCAGTCTCCTGTGAGGAGCAGCAGTTCCCGTCAAGGAATGGCCTTCTAATCCAGGTGCTTGGGCAGGACTGATGGCCTTTGGGTCCCCAAGGCTGTGTGGGAGGGAGTCCCTGGCTAACTTCTGTGCTGGAGCCCGGGGGGAGGCTGGGAGAGGGTGGTTTGCTTCCTTGACTGGCTAGCTGGTTTAAAGATGTGGCCCTGAGGGAGCTAGGCCTGTGGGGCCGAGAATGAGGGAGAACACCCTCATTGGACTTGTCCCCCTCCTCAGTCTCAACTGGTCCCATGGGCCGAGGGCTCTCTTGGAGTTTTCTGCCTCAGGGCAGTTCTGTGGCCCAAGCTAGAGCCACTTGGCTTAGAAGCTACAGAATGAATGCAAGCGGGGTTTTCACTGACTCTCATGATCCCCACAGGACCAGGTCCCAGCACTAAGGCTCTAAAGACTCAGGTCTCTCAGTTCCTCCTCAGAACTCCCACAGTGGCTCAGAGGCCACGGGTCCTGCCAGCCGTCATTTGGAAAGTTCTTTCGAACATTCACCTAGATTCATCTTAGGGTTTCCTTCTCTTCTGCGCAGGACTGGCTTTCAGCTCTAACCATTAGGCAGCTGGTCCTGGCTGGGGCTGGGTGCCTCTGGTTTCTCAGTTCTTTCCAGGGACCCAGCTCTCTGCCACAACCTGGCTTGGACATCAAGACCCAGCCCTGGGTTACCCTGCAACAAGTCCTCCGGAGCTGGGCCCCACAGACTCAGCAGTGCACTCAGCTTCCATGGCTCCACACCCAGCTCTCCTGGCTCTTTCCATTGTTGATGTCTTTTCCTCCCACGGCTTGTTCTGGCCTGCCCTTTGAAGACCCCAAATACCAAGGGTGTCATATTGGCAATTCCCTGTCCTGTCTTGCACGAAGCCTAGGCCTTGTGGCATCCCCACCCTAGAGCAGCTGGCTGTTGACTCCCACCTCCCCAGCCCTGTCATGGGAAGAAGCACAACTTTGCTGGCCTAGAAGGGCGGTGGAGGTCTGCTTAGGGCCTGGCTGCCCTTGGTGCATCAGTCCTGCCTTCCAACTGCACCCCCTGTAGCCCTTGCTCCCCATGACCCCAGGATCAGAGGTGCTGTCCTCCCTGTCCCCTGGACAAAGCACAAAGGGATGCCCTGCTTGGCCAGAGTCTGCCCTACCGAGGGACTTTTTCTGCCCCAGGAAGCCTCCATCACAGAATACAGGCTCTGGGCAATTTCTCCCGGGGG